GCGTCTGGGGCCACTGTTCCGCCCCACTCAGCACGTCACTCCTGGAAGGCTTGGTCGTGTGTAGTCCACTCCCTTACTCATTATCTGATAGCGTCCACACACTACAAAAAACTTGGAGGCCGTTTCCACATTATTACTGGTTTCTCTGCCCTTAGGCTCTGGAGTAATTGCTCTAAAATGACCAACATGAAGACACTCTCTGTTCAGAACTCCATCAGTGGCTCCCAGGGCTTCAGGGGCCAAGTTCAGAGTCTGAACCTGGCCTGGCTGTGTCTTATACTCTCAGGGCCCTGGCAACCACCTGGCTGGAGTGCAGGGATGGTTTTTCACTGGCTCCTCCCTCCCCTTGGTCAGGGGTCTGTAGGAAGCTTGAGCTGGGACAAGTCTGGTGCAGAAGCCCCTTCTCTGTCACAGCCCCCCATGCCTGGGCCCTGCGGTCGTGGATTTGCTCAGCGGTGACTGCACTGTGAGCTCAGCGGGGAAAGCCTTGCATCTGCTGGGCTTCGAGAGAGCACCTGAAGGTCAGGACGCACTTTGGAGTGTTGCTGACTGAAGGAACAGCAGTGATACAAGTCCCTTTTGCATCCCCTTGTAGCTGTGTGCAGAGTGTAGCTCTGTGGAGGAGTGGCAAGTGGGCAGGAGCGGGGTGCCATGACCACTGGGAGGGGAACTGGTCTGCCCCCTGTCCACCATGGTGTTAGTGGTCCTGGCTCCACTGCCCAATGCACAGAGTGCCCTGTAGTCTGCAGGGGGTGGTGCCTCTGCGCTGTCGATCCCTGTGTTCTTCCAAGCAGCTTCGCACACTTGTATTTATGGGATTAAGTAACACTGTCATATCTCTAAATACTGAGACTGTTTGGGGCTTCTGGTTCTGGGCATCTTCTGAGACCCTAGAGAACACCTAAGGGTATATTCGGAGACCCAGCTCTGCAAAGGCTTTAAGTAGAAGACACGTCCTTATGTGCTGTACCCCTTTCCCCCCTTGTAGGTGCTGCAGGCCATCTCGATACCACCCCGTCCTGCCCAGTCCCAGTGTTTTGAGCAGCCTTACACTGGGTTCTCAGCATCTCCTCTGGAGGCTGCAGCCGGGGCCACCTGATGATCCAGGCTGTGCCCCGTGAGGCCATCACAGACTCAGGTGGGCGGTTAGGATGGAGGGCATGCATGGAGCGCTGCAGGGCTCGTCACGTTGTTCTGGGAGGTGACAGATGGAAGCACACAGCCATCTTGCAGAAGATGGTCACGTGTGCCACCTGTGGGGTATCGGAACCCGGTCCCACTGTGCCTCGCCCTGGCCACCCCTTTACAGCCCCACTGCTCCGACCTGCGGCTCCCCTCGAAAGACTGGCCAGAGGTCCAGAGAGTCGAAGGGGTGTTTCAAGACAAAACCTGGCTGGCTTGCTAACTGCTGTGACAGAGACAGGCCAGACAGAAGAGAGGACAAGCCTTCCTTGCTTTTGTCCCTACCCCCTTAGCTGTCACCTGGCCTGGAAGGAAAGAAGAGTTTTAGTAGAGCAGTATTAAAGACAAAATTCCAGACCCAAACGGTCTAGCTATGTGTAGACTTGTTAGGATACCCCTCGAGGAAGTGACCCGTGAGACCCCCTTCTGAAGCCCCTGGTTGGTGGAGCTGCAGGTGCTCTGGGAAGGTGTGGAAGTCAGCCATGACCCGCACCTTCAGCCGTCGCGCTGCCGACTCTCGCCTGAATGTGGGGGCGTGTTCGTGGCACTTTGCTGTGGCTCTTCTGTGACAAGCCAGAGCTTCGTTGTCCACTATTCTGGGAACGTCCCCGTGGCCATGAAGGACTTCCCAAAGGGTTCTTCCCGGTAGGGCAGTGGTTCCTGGGAGTGTGGGCAGGGGCACGTGCGGGGCCGGGCCTGGCACGTGACACAGACGGAGGTTCTTGCTGTCTCTGCGGCACGTGCCTGAAAACACCGAAGTCAGAGAAATACGTGTGCTCCGTGTTCCTCGCCGACCTCGTTTTGGCTGACAAGGCGGGTGGCGTCACCAGACCCAGAGCCTGTGCACAGCTGTGGGGTTACGATCCAGGTATCTCAGACGGCGGGGGCCTGAGCGCTCACGCAGGCCACGGGCTTACAGAACGCTTTTGGCAGCCGAACGTCTTCTTTCTCTTTTGTTTGCAGACCAGCGAGGGCGTGTGGTCTGAGCTGGGGTAGAGGACTCAGAACCCTGTCCTCTGCTCCCCTGAGGCTGTGTGGTGCAGCCGGGCCCTTCCCGCACCAGGCCGGCCACCTGCTGGCGGCGCAGGGCCCGGCTCTGTGCTCTCCCTGTCCCCCATCCGCATGCCAGGGGTCACAGGCAGCATTTTTATGAGCTCTGCTTAGTCTCCGTGGACATTCGCTCAGACGTGCCAGGAGCCCCGTGGAGTCGAGGCCGCGAGGGAGCTGAGGCCCGGCCTGCGTCCCCTCATGGGTCGTGGCTTCCACCCATGTGCTCAGAAGGGCGAATTTTGTCTGCACCTACAGCGGGGAGGGACAGGCAGCCCACCCACTGACCGCTTCTCAGAAGCACTTGCAGTTAGCATGGGACACGCTAAATTAAATGTTAGGGAACACTGGTGTCTTTTCTTTGAGAAGAAGTTTAAGAGCTCAGCTCTGTGATGAGCTCATGACTGCGACGGTCGTCACTCGTGTGGGTTTCCTCTGTCCAGGCCCTGTTGGGTACTTCGCACGTGTAACCTGCTTTATTCCTCGAGGTGACCTAGGAGATTGGCCTTTCCACCTTGTTTTAGACAGAAGGAAACGGAGACCCAGGGAGGTCATGCTCGGTGCCACAGGGCTGACCCGTATGTAATGTCCAGTTTGCCCGGCTCCAAATCCTGCCTGCTTCCTTTGCACACCTTGGTCCCCTCACAGGGCAGTGAGGGTCTGCTGTCTTCTGCTGGGTGGCCTGTGCAGCTCAGCATGTGAATCGGAAGCTTCTGGCTGGTGAAAGGCCAGTTCCCTCACAAAACCCTTGAAGGAGAGAGGGTGGGGAAGAGGGTCTGGGTCGTGACCAGGGTCAGGTGTCCAGGGTGCCGCTGGGTGGGTTGTGAAGACCACGGCCGAGATCCAGGGGCCTTCTGAAGGCCCTTGGATACAAGCTGAGTGTTCCCTTGACTCCATGGCTAGTCGCCTAAATGATGCTTTCAGTGAGCCCGCGTATGGCTCATGGTCATTGCCCAGCAGTGCTGGCTGCTGGCCTGGCCATTCTGTTAATCCCTGAGGGCGGAGGACATGTGACGGTCCCACTCAAGCACCCTAGGCCTGTCCCAAGCACACACCACTCCCCATGGGAGATAGGGCCACCAGATCCTGCAGAAGACGCTGTTGCGGCCCAGACCCAGCTCCCCGTGCGGCCGGTGATCTCCGTCAGAAGCATCCCAGCCGGCCTGTAGCTCCAGGGAGCCCTCCCACCCATGTCTCTGGGTCTGAGAAGCCTTGACTCTTTCACAGCCTGCTCTGCAGGGCACTGCCTGGGGGTTGCCGGGGGCTGGGGGGCAAGGTAGAAAGGAAGCAGAGGGATTGAGAGGTGGGGTGGGACAGAGAACATTTGCAAAGTAGTTTGATGGTTAAGAACACAGAGACCCGGGGCACCTGGGTGGCTCAGATGGTTAGGCGTCTGCCTTCGGCTCAGGTCATGATCCCAGGGTCCTGGGATCGAGTCCCACATCCGGCTCCCTGCTGGGCAGGGAGCCTGCTTCTCCCTCTGCCTCTGCCTCTCTCTCTCTCTCTCTCTCTCTCTCTCTGACTCTCATGAATAAATAAAAAATAAAAAAAAAAAAGAACACAGAGACCCTGGGGTCCATTTGCTTGCTCACATTCCGGGGAACTGTAGGTGGCTGGAGCAGCAGGTGGGTACCCAGGCCCCTCGGACCCCGAGTGGTTTGTCTGGCATGACACAGGTCTCTGACCTCAGCGCCTGCTCTCATGTGGGGCCCACGCGGTTAGTTCTGTGTCACTTCCTTGCTGTGACCCTTTGTTTCCTAAGTGCTCCCCCTCCCCAACCCTCCCATTCTGGGATTCTAAGAATCAGTTGTTCTTTAGAAATGCACAGATTGCCTGTAATATCTGGGAGGCTGTTCTGTGACCGTGGAGGCCGATGGAAAACTACATGGAAACACGGGAGGAGGAATATAAATTGTGCGTTGTTTGGTTTTTTGATTTTATTTTCTTCTGTTTTTCCCCCGGGATGGGCTAGGATGTGCAGCGTGGATGTTTGTACCTTTGGAAGGAAATCCTTATGGCAGAGTCGAGCCTCTCGGACATTTCCAGAGCAACGCTTAGAGTCTGGCTTAACTTCTTATTTTTAAAAAACTTAGCCTAGCAGAAGTTTGCTTCTGATGCATGGAAGGCATGCCGGGAAGGGAGCCTCTGCCTTTGTTTTGTTGGAGCAGTGGAGTGGAGGGAGGCCCCCAGGGTCCTTAGATGCTACTTCATCAGGGCGATGAGAGTGGCCGGTGTGTGTTCTGGAAGGTGATGACTGACATACACAACTAAAGGAACTTGACCTGGTCTGCGAAGTGAAGAGAAAGCAGTCATGACTCAGAAATGCTGGAGTGCAGAGAGGTTGATGGAAGTTAGAGGCGCCGTCGGCTTGTTCTGTGCATTTATTTCTTCTCCCTGGCTCCCAACCTCCTCCTCTGCACAGGGCGTGGTCATGCCTGTGATGTCCGAGCCGGCGTGGGGTCCTGGTGTGCGCACACGGGAGAGTGTCGCAGGGTCCCGGCACTGCTCCCGGATTCATGTTCACAAGTGGTTTTATTTACTTCCTTCAGCTGAAGGAAGAACTGGCCTGCATCATATTTTGAACTTGGCAGCAAAGGGATTGTGTGAGGTCATTGGTCAGTGTAACGCCAATTGAAGGGGTGCGTGTGTGTGCGCATGCGTGCTGCTTTGCTGTTTGAAATAAACCTGGTCCCCTTGATGTCTTTCTTGGTTTGTGGGCTTATCATTTGTCTTCTTTATGTCTTTTGTTGTATTTTCTCTTTTAAAACATCATGTGATAATGCAGACATACTAAAAATTTGGACCCATACAGAGAAGATCAGCATGGCCCCCGCACAAGGATGACACGCAGAAACACGTGATACTTCTGTGGTTGGAAGAGAAATAATAAATAGCTTTTTTTCCCAACGTCTCATGTTAAATCAATTCATGGGTTTCTTACTGCCCCTCTGGTTTGTGCCATCATGAGGCCAGTGCTAAACCTTTGGAGGTCTTTGAACTGTGGTAGCGTTGGCCATGGAAGAGAGGCCACATGAGTGTGATGATTTTACTTTATTTCATTATTATTATTATTATTATTATTATTATTATTTTTAGAGAGGGAGAGAGAGAGCAGGGAGGGGCAGATGGAGAGGGAGAATCCTAAGCAGGATCCATGCTCAGCGCCAAGCCCGATGTGGGGCGCGATCTCACAACCCAGAGATTGTGACCTGAGCCGAAATCAAGAGTTGAAAGCTTCACCAACTGGGCCACCCAGGCGCCCCAACATAATGGTAATTTTAAAAGACGGATGGATAAGGGGATCGTCCTGCGCACGCGGAAGCAGAGGACTGGGGATAAGTTGTACGTGGACTGGAATCAGGCTAACAAGTCCAGGAGAAGCAGGTTGACTCCTGAAATCCACTTTCTGTATTTGAGACGTGTGAGGACATTTCTTTCTGAACTACACCTTCCACAGAGACACACCAGGGTCTGGAGAGAAGGGGCCAAGGTAACATCGAGAGTTCCCAGATGGAAGGAGCCTTAAATACTTCAGAATACAAGCCTGGCTTTTGGTTCAGCAGATGTTAACCCTTACTGGCCGAGCAGGGAGTCTTTGGGTTGAAATATGTCGTGCGTTTTGGAGGTGAAAGAACTTCCACTCAGTTTCTTGTTAGGCCCCGGAGTTAATATGCAGCACGTCCTCATCAGACGCATCCTGCGTGCTGGCTCTGTTGTGCTTAGCTGGGGACCTGTGTCGCTCTCCCCGCTCCCAGACACTGCTTGTCACGTGTTAAACTACTTCTTGGCGTCTTGTTCTCCTCTGAGAAACCACTTTGTTTTGCTTCATTCCCTGCTCAGAACGCATCTGTATAATGGAATGTGTGGATCCACGTAGATGCCGTCTCCCTGGGGGCCTCCATCCAAAATGACGGAATGGAAGGACATGACGAAGGAAGAGGCTCAGATAAACCAAGGAGTTTAACTTCCTTCCCTCCCTTTGTCCTTCTGTCCTTCTGTGTTTCTTTCTTCTCTTCTTCTGCTCTTCCTTCTTAATCAAAGAGGAGAAGACCTCTCACTGGTTAGTGACACATCTAGAGGTAAAACTCAGAGTTTCTGGGTTATATGTCCTTTATGTGCAGTCGCTGGATGAGGGATTGGGGTTTTTAAGATGAATTTAATATAGTTTCTTCCCCCAAGCAGCCCTACGCGAGGGGAAAATGTGGGGCATGCAGTGTGCCCGCGGTAGGGAGGTTTGCATTTGAGAACCGTCCCTCGAGTTGCTCGAGTCTCGTATTCTCCTCACTCACCAACTGGCCCCCATGACCAGCTCCGAGGCAGAGCTGGAGGAGAACTAATGTCGGGGCCCCAACAAGAGGAAACCGTTGCAGGAGGAGCAGAAATATAAAGGAACGAACAACAAAACCAAGAGCCAGAGAGCATATCGCCCTCCGGTCTGAATTCTCCTTCCGTGGAATCCTTGTGGCTTGAGATCAAGGAGGGTGTGAGGAGAAGGGGGTGTAGAAGTTGGGTCACGAGTATGAGGGAGTCCTCCGAGTACTTCTACAGGATGCTTCCTGTGGAGTGGCGCGTGGACGAGAGCTTCGCTCGGCTCCACGGGCCAGGTGCTCCCAGGATGGAGCATCGCGGGGAGCATAAAACACTCTGCACACAGTGGTTTGTGATGTGTCCAGGAGAGGAAATGGGTCGCGTCCTTGGTTGCTGCAAGGGCGGGTGTTGGAGGCTGTGGCGGGAGGCTGAGCTGCTCGGTGCAGGCCATGCTCTCAGGGGCCAGTGGAAACGTCAGGTCAGTGGGTTGGCAGCCCCCAGCCCCCTCCTGCAGGGAGGGTGTTTTCTTTCAATTACCCAGTTACAGAAAGGTCTGTATATTTAGGGCTTTGATGAGTTTTGGGGACCATTATGAGGGTTTGGGTACCCTCTTACACTCTTGGGCATGGATGTAAACTTCACATGCGGACAGCAGGTGCATGTGGATGTGACTTCATCGGAGGCGCAGTGTGGATGGCCCATGGCTCCGGGTTCTGGAAAACGTTACAGGGCTCTGTCCTCAGGACTCCATAGATGAAGCCATTTCCCTGACATTTCTAGGTAAAGAGCGAAATAAGCACAGCATTTTTTTTTTTTTTGGTAATTAATTTTGTAATATTAAAAGGAAATCTCTGTTTTCACAACCAGTATAGGTTCACTGGGATTTTCATTTATTGTTTCCCATTTTTAAACAGGATGTCCATTGTAGTTTTGAGAGAGTTAAAAGTTTAGTGTTATTTAAAATGTAAGAAAGAGGAAAACACCCCAAGCCCCACAATCACACATTCAGTCCAAGAGAAGGCATTCACTCAGCAAACCATTGTGTGCCCCATCCTGTGAGGCCCTGCATTTGCCTTGTTTCTTAAGCCCTATATTTAGTAAGAAAAGAGGTGATTTGGCGGACCCTGTGAGTCTCATTTGGACACATTGGCCAGGGTGGCTCTGGAAGATTTTAACGTTGGGCTCATTCCCCACGTGGTGGATATTGTCTTCCCAGGATGCAGAGACCAAAACAGCAGAGACACAGACGGGACTGTCTGGTCATCAGGAGCGGCTCTGGCCTTCCCAGAACCTGCAAGCCTGTGCTTTGAGGTTTGTTTTGGGAGAAGGACAAATTGCCACTGTTGAAATCCCCAATCACCAAAATATCCCTAACAGCCTATTATAAAAAGAACATTTTAAGGTAGAGGTTAATAGTAGCTCAATGCCTTTTCTGCGAGGGCCTCCTTCCCCAGCTTTCTTTCTGCAGCGCCGTACGTAGTGTTTTGGAAGCTGGTCTGGGGTGGTCTGAAGAAGCTCCTTTGTTCAGTAGAGTAAGAACCGCGGGGGGTGTGGTGTGTGCAGGTCTCAGAGGGAGCCCGCGGTTGGGCGAGCGCACAGGTTCTGCACCTGCCCCGATCGCCGATGGGCACACGGCCCGGTTCCCTGCTGTGAGCCCCGTGGTCCCACCTCCTGGGCATTGCCACCTGGGAGCCCTCTGTCCTTGCACGTGCATGTGTCTACCCTGCCCAGGCTCCTTTCCTCAGATTGACCCTTGAGTTCCTGCTTGGCTTCTGCTAACGGGGTCATGAGTTTTAGAGCCATCCACAGGGCATTTTGGGGGCCCCTCTGTCCCCGCGTCCTCACACACGGCCCCAGTCCCCACCCCTCCTGGGACTCCCCGATGGTGCGTTGTTTGCTCCATGACCCGAGGCTCTTAGCAGTTCACACATGAAGTGGAATATGTTCTGGGATTTGTTGTTCGCTGCTTTTAAATGTGGGCCCCCCGTGCTCTGCCACAGCTGCTCCCCGGGGCCTGGCAGCCGTGACGTGGAACTTGAGGGGACGGCAGGGTGCTGTCACCTGGCACGGTGTGAGGCTAAGGCAGCAGGGCCTGCGCTGATGGTGGCGGTGACAGCGGCGGGGGCCAGCCCACCCAGCCCTGCCTGGATCCCTTCCTCAAGTGTCTTCTCTCGCATCCACTCTGGATATATGTTTTAGAACCCGTCTGGCTTTCCTTATTTGCATTAGAAACTACACAATGAGAATATTCTCCGGGATGACTCACGAGTTAAAATATGTTGGCAAAGGACATTTGTATTTTATTTTGGTTGAAGGAGGAGAACAATGAACATTTAGGGCACAGAAGGCAGGCAGGTCGAATTAATGCCAGAACAAACTTCTGGTTGGTAGCTTCACCCATTGCTAGTCACCTCCTTGGCCAGGGCAAACCAAGGATTTATTCTGGGAGCATGGCACACTGGTCCAGTAATTACAGTGTGGCCTGTGGCCCTGGCAGTAACAAGACCCCGGGCTTTCCAGCTGGACTCCTAGACTGGAGGAGCCCCTCCGTTCTGCAGGGCCGGCCTGGTCTCCTCACAGGGGACAAATCCACCTGATGACTTGGTCATTTTGTCCAGCCGTACAAAATAGCAGCCAGAATTACCTGTAAATTTGTTTTTTACAAATCAGTTGAGTCACAGTGTCTAGGGAGAAGCAAAGTAACTCTTCTTCAGGTCAAGGGATTCACTTTTGGACCTGGTAGGCCCCCTGCCAAGGCCTCGGAGAATCACCCTCGTCCAACATCAGAGCGGGCGGTGACCGCCACGCCGCGTCCCCCGAGCGTCTCCCGTTCCCCAGCAGTGACGCTGCGAGGTTGGCGGAGTGCAGCTCAGGCGTGGCCGTCAGATGAGGTCCCAGGTTCAGGGACAACGTGGCCGTGGCCTCGGGCACCTCGGGTCTCCTGCCTGCTGGTCCGTGGCTCTGGCCGTGACGACAGCCCGTCATCCGTGAGGGGGCACCAGTGTTCACGACCACGGCAACCGTGCTCCTTCGTTGCGGAGCGCTGACCGAGTTCCGGCCCTGGTAGCAGCGTGTCACATCTGTTCATGTGTCTGGTCCTCACGACGGCCCTGAGCGCTGCTGTGGGCTGTGTCCCCAAATTCACGTGCTGAGTCCTGTCCGCAGGACCTGTGGATGTGCTGTTATGTGGAGACAGGGCCTTTCCAGAGGGAATCCAGTAGAAACCAGGTCACCGGGGTGGGCCGTGCACCGGCTCACAGGCGTCCTCGTGAGAAGGGGAAATTTGGAGACAGACACATCAAAAAGGAAGACGGTGGGAAGGGACACAGGAGGAAGACAGCCACCTGCAAGCCGAGGGGGAGAGAGGCCTGGAACAGAGTGTCCCTCGCAGCCTCTGAAGGGACCAGCCCTGGGATGCCTGATCTCAGACTCAGCCCCTAGAACTGCCTGACGGCACGTTGTTGTGTGCGCCACCCGGTCTGCAGTCCTTGGTTCTGGCAGCCCTCACAAAGTACAGGTGTCGCCTTCTGTTTGTAGATGTGGAAACTGAGGCCCGGCTTGGTTCCGTGACTTGCCCGAGTTCCCCTGGAGAGCAGGGGCTGCAGGCCTGTGTGACCCAGGTCATGTGGTGCCAGGGTCGGCGCTTGGCCACCAGGCCCGGGAAGTGGGTGGCGTGAGCCTTCTTTCTGTACAACATTTCCTGCTGTGACCTCCCGGCTGGCCTGGTGCTTCCTGTCCTTCCCCCCAGGCCCTCATCCCTGTTGGAGGTTTTGAGCTACATTTATGCCCCCAGCGCCATGGCCTGCACAAAACTGAGTGCACAAAAATGTTTCTTAAAGAAAGCAAACCAACCTCGAGGATGTGAATTTTTTGCACAGAAATCACTCCTGGCTCTACCTTATTTTCCTAAACATGTCTTTTCTCGTTGCCACATTTTTTTGCCTGTTTTATTATGAAGGAGAGCACGCACCTTGTAGAATATCGGGTGAGTGCAGAAAATCAGAAGCACTGATCACCATTTTATTTTACCTTATTGTTGTTGTCTGCTGGTTTCCTACCACCCCTTTGTTCTGGAAGCTCCAGCTGGCTTGAGGTTGGCCCCAGCGTGGAAGTTACTCGGGACCTCTGGGAGGGCCGTGCAGATGGGTGTTCTCTCTGTTCCCTCGACGTCCAAGAGTCTGTGAGGTGTGGCCTTCAGCGTTGTCTGGTTTCTCGAGTGGGCCTGATTTCTTAGGCACCCTGAGATCTGCAGGGGTGGGGAGGGCCCTGCTGACGGGCCCGTCTGGAATGTGGGATAATCCTGATCTTGTTCGGCATCTGTACCCAAAAGACCCTGAATGTTGCAAAATAAACAACAGAGCAGCTTTTGTGATGGGATGATTAAGACTGGAAAATAAATGGGGTTCTTAGGTGGGGTCTGGCTGAGGGCAGGCTAGGCTCAGGGTGACGGCGTGTTTTCCCTGACCCCGCCCTCTGCCCAGCATTTCAGCCACGTGGAACAGCTCACGAGGAATGGGCTGCCAGTTAATCTTTAGAATAAGTGCAGGCAGCCCTGAGATCTCAGTGGGGTGGCCCGGCAACTCCGATGATCTGGGAATTAGGAATCCTGTCTCCTGGTTTGATTCTGCCGCTCGGTTCCGTGATGGTGGAAATCACTTGTTTCTGAGTGATGTAGAGAACGAGGGCTTGGACAATAGGATTCCCAAGGCTCTCCCTCGCTCTTGTATTGTATTTTTGGCATGGATTCAACTCCCAATTCTCTAACCTGCACCTGCATCTGCACCTCCACCTTTGAAGTGAGGCCTTGAATGTTTTCCTACTGCAAGTGAAGAGAGTACAGAGGAGCTATTTCTAGCTTCCTGCTTTGCTGCTTTTGAACTGAATGCAGTTTTCTTTCTGGTCTTTTCTTACCGGTGTGCAAAGAGGTCGGGGGATGTCAGCCTGGTTCACAAGTGGTGTCCTGGGAGGGATGGCTCTCTGCTCCACGCCCACCGCCTCGTACGAGTAAGAGCCAACCAGGCTGGAGCCAGCGAAGCCCACCTGCTTCCCTGGAAGCCTGAGCAACAGTGTACCCCTGAGCAGTCTCTCATTTTAACTGGCCCCCCCTCCTCCTCCGCCTCCCCCCTCCTCCTGGCCCCAGGCAGGGGTTGTGGGCACATGCTGGCTCATTTGCATGAGGGTTCTGCAGATTGAGTGACAGTCTGAAGTGCTGTCATGCCCCTTTGCTCCTTTGTCAAACTTTGGGAGAGAACTTTCCCCCAACCTACAGCAGGGATATTATATAACTTCTGGTGTTCACCCCCACTCATCTTCTTAAACTGCACGTCTTCATATGCTTGTAACTTATTTTTACCTTTAGAAGAATTTTTCGAGTGGGTGGGGTTGAGCGGAAGCAGCCCCAGGTGGTTTCTTCTATGGGCTAATAGGGATTTTTTGGAGTGGAAAAGTGGGGTTAGACCCCTGTTGGCACTCCCTTTTCCTCCCTAGGTCCCCCGCTTCCTAGTCCCTCTGGCTTCGGAACACTCCTACCTGAGAGAGTGGCTGCTTGCTGCAGATGTTTCTTGTGACTGACTGACAAGGCAGACAGCTGTGTCTCTGGGGTGTGTCCAGCTTACACATGCTGCTGAGGCCAGGGTGGGCGGTCCCATCCTTGGGCTGGGTCCTGGCTGAAACTTCCAGAGGAAACGTTTTATAGAGGCTTGCGGCAGGTAAGGCAGGTGCTCAGGCAGGACAGAGGTCGTGAGACCAGTTCTCCAGCTCACCTTCGCCAGACAGTGCTCACCTTCTGCCAGCGGGGGCGGAGTAATCCCGAAAGCACGTTCTGAATGATCAGCGACGAGCAGATGCCGTCTACAGCGGCACCCCCGAGGCCATGAGTTACGGTTGGAGCTGTGAGATGAGCATCACCTTGGTGACGCTGAGCTCCGATCTTTAACACGGGAGACTTTGTGGGGCTTCAGCATCTCAGTCTTACTGTCGCGTGGGGATACGGGTGTGGGCCTCACAGCCAGTGACAGGGCTAAGTGAGGCAGTGTGCGTTGTGTTGTTCAGGATGGCGCCGCAGGAACCATGAGCCTTACGGGACTTGCCACAGGACGTGGCTGACACGGTAACGAACCCAGTGGCCTCTGATCCCAGAGACCACACACCTTGCATGAAGGACGTTGTCTGTGTGAGGCTCACGTGGTGTCTTAGGCTCCTTGGGTAAGAGAGACGGAGCATCTTTTCTCAGAATTACATTCCCTGTTTAACCACAGACTGGCTGGCTTCCTTCTGTGGCACATCCTAGGCCCCTCTGAGGGGAGGCCGCCATGTTGTCATCAAACCCGCAGAACAGCAGGTGCGAAGAGCAGGAGCATGAGGGCAGGTGCCATGGCTTTGACCCTGAGACTCTTGTAAACTTACTGTGGAGGTAAGTTGTGGGTGAGGTGCCTCGGACACGGGGCCCGTGAGATTCACGGGGGGTCCTCATGCTTGTCTGTGGGGGCCTTGGGAGATGCCACCAGCAGGCTTGTGAGGGAGAGACACAGATTCACTAGGTGGAGAGAGACAGAAGTGGATGTTTGTGCCGTTGGCACGGCACCAGCGGAGGCCGTGTGTGGGAAGGTCCAGAACTTCTTCAGGCAATAAGCGCTAGAGCGTGTGGCCAAAATAGAACGTTCCTTCTCGATGTAGACTGGGTCCAGCGTGAGGCCACGAGGGTGCTGCAGGGGCTGAGGATGAGGTTGTGACACGTCTTCACAGCAGGCTCAGGCATTTTGGAGTGGACATGAAATTTTAGGGGCAAAAAACTTTGTTACACGAGTTAACTGTGTAGAGAAGGGGGACGGTTGGCCCGGCAAGTTGGGAGCTGTGTCTGGCGGCCTTGGGGCTCTGGCAGCAGAGTCCGGTCATTGCTACAGAGGCCGTGTGGCCCTCAAAACCCAGAATACTTACTGTCTGACCTTTATGGATAAAATCTGCCGAGCGATGCTCTGCACCTCTCCTGGGCTTTAGGGGAGCGCGCTGTTCAGCAGCGGGAGGAAGGATGCAGGAATTAGGACTCTTGGGCCACGGTTAGTGCTCATCGGTGGACCACAGATTGCTCGTTTACCAGCTCCCTCTCCGATCCTAACCTGTAGAAAGCGGGGGAGACTCACTTACACCTCTTCTCCAGGAGTGTTTGAATGCGTTTGAAGCGGGGATCTGCACGTGGCCAGTGGTGTCGCTGCCTCGTGACACCTGCAGCTTCCCACAGTCTAGTTTCATTTCAGACGAGAGAGCCTGCGGGTAAGAGAGGGGAACGGGGCCCGTCTCCGTGGCGGGCCTCCCTGTGCCCGGGCCCCTCTGCCAGATGCCGGACGAGGGCTGGTGGCCGAGGAGTTCTCGATAAACAATAGCTATTATTATTATTTCTTAATTCTTATTTGAATTAATGTCGCTTTTCTTTTTTTACCTTGTGGGAAAACCAAAAACTCTCCCCCAAAGCCTGGCACTGTGAAAGCCTTTCTCCTTGAGCTGACAGGTGCTCATCCGAAATCTCAGCTCTGACAGCCAGTCGGAGGATGTTGAACCTCTTGACGATGAAATAAATGTCAGATCTTAAATTCAGAAAGACATGTAGGAGAGCAGAGATACACTGACATTTTTGGAATTCTGAGCAAGCTCGGAGAAGAAAAATGCTATTAAATATCGTTCGGAACTTTTTTCTCAATTTATGTGATAGTGACATACGTTTGCTCACTTTAAGTAGGCGTGTCGCGTGAACAGACACTGTCCCTTGACTGAATGAAGACCAGAAGAGAGACCCTTTCTTTATCCTAAACTATCATGAATATGACATTTAAATTCATTTTATTAGAACATTGTAATCTTAATATATGTGTTGCTGAAGGAAGCACAAAACATTGTAATTTTAAAATAGGGGTGTCCATATGGTTTGCAAGCAGATTTATTTAAACGTAAATACTGGGGAGTTCTCTTTGCCTCTGTACCGGGCCATTCTTTCCACCCTCAAGCCTTGCCCGCCGTGTTCGGAGGCTGTTTTAATTAGGATCTAGGGTATTCATCCACTGTTTCTTTATGCAAATAAAGATAAATGCAAGTATACATGGTGTTCACCCAGTGTTCAGGGCATAATACGTACCAGTGTATACTTGGGTTTTCTTAACGTGTCTTGCAGTCCTTTCCATTTTCACGCGTAGGAAGCCCTCTGCGCGCTGTCCGCGGCTCCTGGTGCCCACGGTCTGGATGTGCCACGGCTTATTTCACCAGTGTCCGACTTGGATTGTTTTTCATCTTTTGGTGTTTCAAACAGGACCGCCATGACTAACTTTATATACTGCTCCCATGCCCAGAAGTGGGGTTTCTGTGTCAATGGGTCAACGTAGGTAAAGCTTTGTAGATTTTGACCAAAAACTCTTTTAATGTGCTGTATCATTTTGAACTTCAACTGGTACCCCCGCACTTTTCCATTCTTCTGCCTCTGCTGCCTTTTAAAAAGTTACATTTATGTACTTCCAAGTTTAATCATGTTCCCGGAAACACTGTAACGGACATTTCCGTGCCCCTGATGTTTTTGATTCTATGATGAATTCAAAGGATTTAAACACCGTTTAAGGGCGTCGGTGAATATTGCCTGTTACCCTGTTACCTGTCCAGAGGGCCTCTCATTGCATTTGCAATGCAAATTGATTGGTTTCTCCTTAACTCTAACCAAGTTATATAATTTAGAAAATGTGCAGTTGATTTTTACAGGTGGAAAATGAACCCTATCATTTTCTATGTGCGTACACCGGGGCGCCGAGCACTTGAGATCTGCCAAGGTCACGGAGCTGGCTGAGGGCAGAGCTGAGGCTGGGAGCCAGCGCCCTGGTTCCTGGGAAGAGAAGCCTGGCACATTTTCTGCATGTTCACACCATGGTCCTTTGGGCAATTTTCACGTGAATTTATTGGACCAAAATGAGTGTTTTTATTTCACTGTAGAGAAAATCACACTTAATTGCGAGTAGTTACTGAGCCATCCACTCAGCAAATATTGACTTTCCACATAGCGCACGTTGTACCAGGTGTAACGTCGGATGTTATACCAGGTAGTTCATGTTCCACGGGCATGAGGTTCTCCGTGTTATGGGGCGCCTGGGTGGCTCAATCGCTAGGCTTCTGCCTTCAGCTTGGGTTGTGATCCCAGGGTCCTGGGATCGAGCCCCGCATCGGGCTCCTAGCTCAGTGGGAAGCCTGCTTCTCCCTCTCCCACTCCCCCTGCTTGTGTTTCCTCTCTCGCGCTCTTTCTGTCAAATAAATAAATAAAATATTAAAAAAAAAATGATTCTCCCTGTCACTAAGGGAGCTCCGCAGATAATAGAGGAAGTGGTTCTTTTTGCACCGATATCCAGGCTTTTTCCCCCCGGCAAGGAGCTGTGGAGTGTCTGATTGTGCTGACCTGCTCTCATGGAGTGTGTTTCCTGAACAAATGCTGTTGTAGGAGCTCCGGGTACAGGAGTGAGCAAAGCAGATGGAGATTGCCGCCCTCAGGGAGAGCACATTCTGGAGTGGGGACAGAGCCCATGCGATAAGTAAGGTAAACAAGACAGTGATGAGTGCCAGGAGGAGAGGAAAGCCTGGAGGGACGTTAAGAAGTGGGTGTGGGGGGAGGTTGAGGGGACCCTCAGCTTCCAGTGGGAGAAACCTAATGTGGTCGTGGTGCTGCAGGTGCACAGCCAGTGGGGGGACCCCAAGAAAGCACCCCAGCCCCTCCCTTCGTCTTTGCTCAGGGGCGGGGGCGGGGGGACGAGCTGGCCAGGGGAGGAGAGGAGACTCGGCCTACTGCAGCCCTGCAGAACTTGGACTTGCTTCCTTTTGGAATGTCAGGAAATTCGTGCAGGGCCATGGATGTGTCCGAGGCTGGTGCTAACTTGTGAATGAGGAAAATAGTGGTTAGAGTGGGTTCTATTATTTTTGGTGCTGTAATCCTATACTAATGATTCTCAAGTGACCAAAGAGTTTTATGTCCATAAGAGAACACGGTCCCATTAGACCCATTATCGCTGCAGCAGCTCCGTCCTTCCCCGAATCCGACGTCGGTGGCGGCTGCGCCTGTTCTCTGCGCGCGGGGGCTCCGTGCCCTGGTTCTGGGAGGACAGACCCAGGCTGGCATGCTGGGCTGGAAGGAAATACGGTTCATAGACTTGTGTTATTCTGGGTATCCGCGGCAGGAAGGCTTCCCCTTGGAAGCCTGCTCCCCGCTCGTGGATGGTGTTTTCCTGGGAATAATCTGAAGTTCGCATCTCTGTCTCCCTTCAGGAAAGGTTGCATCAGTTTATTTGATTCTGTTCAAGTCCCTCAGGGGTGGGCCGTGAACAAAGCTTCATGTTCAGGAAACAGCGGGTTCTGTGCTTAGCGCACCGACCCTGGTCGTCCGGGGCTTTTCTTCTCTCTCTGAATTAAAGCTCTGCTCATGCACCACGGATCCACGCCACCATGTCAGAGCTAATTTTGAGTAAGTTTTGCCGTTGGTTTTTACATCTAGTAGAGCTCCTAGTGTTGTCTGGCTGACGGATGCAGCGTGGGGGCGGGCGAGGTGTTGGGAAAAGGAGGGGCGGGAAGGGGTCCCCAGCATCGCCACCATCACTTCTCTCAATCATGACTTTGGTGGCTCTCTGTCCATCTCATGAGCTCATCTGCACTTGGGGTCTCCCCAGCCAGGGCCAGGATCGGGGGAGATTGCAGTGGCTCTGCAAGAATGTGAGTTCTAGAATGGTGGGGGAGGGGCTTAGCCTGGGGTCTGGATATGCAAGTACTGTTGGGACTAGTCTCTGACTTGGTGGGACGGAGCTGCAGGGGGCAGGCTCTCCCTGACCTCCTGGTGGTCCTGTGTGAGGACAAACCAAGGGCCAGCCTTCCTCGGGGAGAGGGTAGGAGGCTCACGTCAGAGGATTTGCCCCTCCGGATATTAGCACTTAAAATCTTTGGCATTGACTTTGGGGGAAGACAGAGGAGCCTTCATGTGATGATGACCCATCTTCTCATGAGGGAAGTTGAGTGCTGGATTGATTCCTGCACTGTAGGCCACTAAATGGTCTTACTGTTACCATCATTAAGCCAGATGCCTCGTGGAGCAACTGGAGCATTCTCTGTGATGAAAAATATTCTTCTCAGGTGGGAAAAGTTAAAGCATCAGTGGTGCATGTCCTCAGAGGGCGGCCTCTTCTATTTTCTACAAGCTAGGACAGTTGGGTGAGCATTCCCTCTTTGTGTGCTGTGGAGGGGGGCGGGGGCTGGCAGGGAAAGAGCCCTTCCAGGCTCCAGTGGGCGGAGCAGTGGGGCGAGCCGTGGCGTGAGTGGTGGGTGGGGTGAGCGCTTGGGACCTGGTGCAGCCTGGGCGGTGGCTTGTGATGCAGGAAGGGAACGTGGGCTTCCCAAGTCAGGAGACGC